GTAGCAGTAGCAGTAGCAGGAGGAGGTGGCGGAGCAGCACAGCAGCTCTAGATTTGGGCCAGGTCCGCTAGGTCTAGGTGGTGGGGACTCGTCGTCCTCCTCGCTGTGGTCGGGGTTGTCGTGGTGGATGTCCTAGTGGAATCGCTGTACTTGTACGTAACGCTACCGCAGTCGCAATGCTACTGTTCCTACTGTTGGTCCGCCGAGGCTGCAACTCCAGGTGGACTTCTGGATGGCCGGGGTCCAAGCGTGTACGACCTGCAGCGCACCAACGGATTAGCCGGTGGAGGTTGGGGGAATCATCCACTTTTTTGTTGCACGCCTCCACAAGGCTTGAAGCCTTAAAGCCGTGATTTCCATTCTGAGATCCGAGGACTACCATCATGTGAAGCTGAAGAACCCGTACTCGTGGTACGTCGGAGTCCGCCACGGCGAGGCCGTTCTGTAGCTTTCGTGAGATGTGAAGGCAGCAATGTAGAGACTATAAAATTTCCAATACTATTCCGTGTTACTGATTAGGGTTTTAGTTTCATATGCCCCAAAATCCTATCCTAGCTAACTATTCAGGCTATATTCCGCCAAACTTGCCGATTACTGAAGAGTTGGTACCAGCTGTGGTAAATCTTGGGTCTGTGAGCCTGCCTTGGAATTTGTGCCACGCACACTTGATATCAAGCGCATGACAATCAACCCCCAGTGTTCTGATGCACCCCCATCACAAACAAGGACATTCACAGCACTTATGTCACTTCTGTATTGAAGGATCTTGTATTGATCAGGCTTAGTTTTATTCATGCGTCGTGGTCTTTCACTTAGAGCCGAAAAACCCGCAACTGGGTCCCATGACTTTTACAGAAATCCTGTGGACCAGATGTCCCAGTCCTAGCTTGGTGATCATGTGACAAGAGGAGATTTTTATCTCGATGCTACAACTTGTAAGTTCCAGGAGACCGTATGGAGGGTTTGTTCTTCAGCTTTTCTTGTTTCTAGCATGAGGATGTCTTCGGTAACCGGATCGCAGCACCTTCAGTTACGGCCGCAGCATGGCCGATTCCGCCGTTATCCTACTGCCTCAAAGCCGAAACTACACCGTTTTCGAAGAGCGACATTCTACACGTGAAGGAAAGCCACTGCAAGCTGAGAACACGGTGGGTGCAAAGCTTGAAGTGAAGCAACAAAAGTTGGCACGTTATTGATGTCAATTTTCCTCGTGCTAGGTTCTCGTGCGCGAATACACTGTCACTACAGTATCTGCAGCCTGCAGTCTTCAATTGCCTTCAATTCCCAAGTTGCTTAGCATAGTGTGTTCTTTACTTGCAATGCACCCGTTGTGGTCTGCAGACGGCGGAACTGCAAGCGCAGAGCTTCGAGGAGTACAGGCGCTGAGGGAGACTCTGTGACTCTTTGTTTGTGCTTCAGGGCTCTAGTGGTGGAAGCCGCGGCCCTGCGGTTTTGACCGTGCCATGAAGTTTGGTGCAAGCGCTCGCAGCGAGCTCCGAGGTAACTAAAGACAAGCTTCCGAAACATGATGTTTCGTCAGAATTTCCTCTCAACCAGGATCTGGAGCTGGCACCCACAAGTATAACCCGATCCCACCCTCGCCTCAGCCCAGCCAAAGAGTGCTCCGCAGGCCCTACCTCACGCAGCCCGACCCACTGGAGCAGCCGGAAAACCTGCCATCCATGACTCACGGCATGAAGGACAGGAAGCCTCAAAGAGTTCCTCGACATGTTTTGTGGGAATATAGGGTCTAACAGGACTGGGATTCTTTCGGGAAGCTTCGGAATGTTAAGGCTGTCTTGGAGTTTTGTGGGTTCTGAAATTTGGGGTCCCCTGTGAGGGTTCGTCGTAGCGAAGTAGAGTGGAAGATCTCGTGCGGTGCAACACGCAGTGGCTGTCTTAGAAGCAACAGGGATCCTGCATGATCCATGATCCTGCTATTTAGGGGCTACATTGGATCTAGTCTTCACAAAAACCCTAAACCCTGCAGCCGGGAAGCCCGAATTTAGCGGCTCATTGAAGGCGACTCTCGGAAACCTTCGTGGTGTACATAGCGAGCTGCCCCTGCTGGTCGCTTCAGGGCTACAAGATCGGCGAACCAATCCAAACCATCCTACTTGAATTAAAAACCTCAACACCCTGGGCCTCATACCCTAAACCCTCTGACGGTCTGAGGGGCCAAGGCCGGTCAGCAGAGAGTCAAATGAGGCGTAGTTGAGTTTAAAAACCAAACCCCTAAACCCTGTAAGGGTAGTTCTCCAAATTAGGGCCCCTTTTTGGGTCCCCCAGAAAAGTATGGCACTCTTATAAGAAGGACACTACTAGTAGAAAAGCCCCAGTTTGAGAGAACTACCCATATGCACCCAGAGGACCCGAAGAGCTGGGCCATGAACTTCCGCTTCCCACTTCCGGCTCTTCGCTCGGACAAAGGGGCAGTAATCATATATATATATATATGGTAGCCCCCCCCCATGAACTACCGACCCTCGTTTT